CATAAAATACAGTTAATTCGTCTGTGATATTTTTTTTCATTTCAATCGCGTTTTAATTTAAAAAACTATATTTATTTCTATAAATCTGTCGACAGTAATATTTTTGAAATATTTTTCAGTCAACCATTTCCTATTTGCTTTTTATTGAAAGTTAGCTCAAAAAAATTTTTTAATAAAATTTAATACTTAATGGTAAATTGTGCAGATAATAATGAAATTTATATCTAACAAAGAGAAATAATAATATTTTACAGAATAAAACAATAAATACATAAAATGAAATGCTTCATAGTTATTTGCGATGTATAATATTTTTGTCTGCTAACACGAATCTATTGGTGAAATTTGATTAGGTTACTATACGTCACAATTTTGAAAAAAATGATATCTAAGAGGCAAAAAATGATGTAATTGCCAAAACTGACCAACGGACTCGTGTTCAACAGTCAAAAATATATTGGAAACAACTATTTACACGTGTTGAATAGCTTTGGACAGTGTTATTATGCCTTCTATTTTCACAATAACATTACTGTGAAATATATAATATTATTAATATAATGTTACATTAAGTTCAAAAAAATGATGTGCGCCCAATATTACGATATTTAGTTTTTCAGCGAAAATTCTCTCTAGTCTTCGTAAAATTTCGAAATCTCGTGGTGGCGAGTAAGAGAAAGAACGTTCTCTCTATATCGAGCGACGGGATCTCTAATTGGCGACCGTTCGAAAAATCGTACCGGCTGGTTCGATCCTGGTAGTCAGCAATTAAAAGGAATGTCGTCCCTGCTGATATGTATCTTGTCGTTGCTGGTCGACCAGCCTAATCACGCGCTCTTGTTGCCCGCGAGCGTCGAAGAGAGATAGTGACTCCCTTCCTTACACATTTTGCAATTGAATTGCGCATATGGCGCGTTTACATCGTTCGTCTAAGCGACTATTCGATTATCTTAGCTCTTTCTATAAACTTTTGCGAACATCTATTTTTTCAGCTAAAAAAAAACAGCAAATGTAAATAGAATAATTTATTCAATGTATTTGTAATATAATTTTTATTAATTTAACATTAGTTTAATTAAAAGGAAGTATTAAGATTTTTAAAAATATTAATTTATTATTTGCAGGAAAGAGTTGTTGCGGATGCCAATAATAAACGAAAGATAGAATTTTTATATAATTGTTGCATTTTATTATTTTTTGCAAACATTAATTCGTTATCTACAGAAAATAGATATTAATTAATCAAATGACAAGCATGACAATATCAAACTGATGAATGAATAGTGACGACCTTGTGTCGTTTGTTACTTGTAATTGTAATTACATCATTAAATTACATCGAGAATGTTGCAAATGCGTATTACTGGTAATTGACAGGCGCTAATAAAACACATTGATTAGATAATTAGAAATCGAAGGAATAATAGCGAAAAAAATCGTATTGTTAATTACGCTAATCACTAATGAAACATGTAACGCAGAACAAATTATTGATATGGTGTGTAAAAATTCATTACATAGTATTGGTTTAAATAAAGACTCTTATCGAGCGATTATCGAACGTGATTAATCAAACGTCGCGATAATAATGGTTCTTGCGAAACTCAAACATGTGGCGCTGCACGATAGAAATTAATGTAATCTGAGATGCCGTCATAAATAACGTAACATGACTACAAAATAGAGTATACTTGCAGTGAGACGAACGATAATGATTAGAGAAAATATAAATAAAGCATGAGGAAAAAATTGTGATTTAAGAAATCATCTTCAATCAGAAAGAAAAAAAAAAAACAGAAATTATAAAAATGATTTTCAAAAATTAGAAACAATACATTTAGAAAAGATATTGTATTATTTTATAAGTATATATAATACAAGTATTTCTTAATAAAATATTTATATTTTATTAAGAATAACAAAGTATTAAATTATTTCTACTTTCGTATTAACTCTTTGTTTTGTCAATGATACGCTTTAATTATAATATTCGTTTAATGATCTATACGAGAGTAATATGATTACAAACAAAATAAGAAAGTCATCTTTTAGCGTTTGAAGGCTCCTGAAAATCAGTGCACGTGTCACAAGTAATTAAAAATTTTAATGAAATGTGTTGATAAGGATTAGATCGATAAACAAACAAGAAACAAAGGCATCGTAAAAGCACCGTTTGCGGTCAAGAAATGCTCCGTCTCGCACTGATATTAATAATACGTCTCTCGGGGGTAAGACGTCGGCGTCGTGGCGGCATGGCGCGGTGGTGATGGCAGTCGCAACACGCGCCCGGCGTCGCGCGATCACGGCATTAATTTCCGATATTGCTATCGTAAATATTCGCGACTCGCCGCCGACCATCTCCCACCGGATTGAAATACTTCCCTCTTTCTGGATTCGACGTTGCCGGCGCGCGTCCCTATTGGGGGCTCATTTTTTATATATCGACCCTCAGAATCGTAGATATATATTTACGGCGAGGGAACGGCGCGATTCAAAATGATTTTATAAAAGTAAAAAAAGAATTTTTAATGCTATATGACATTTTAATTTAATTTGTCGCTTGCTAGACTGATATTATGCAAAAGGTAAGTAGAGGGAAAGAAAATTGTTTATTAAATTGTTTACGTACTATATTCTCCAAGAGGTTTACATATTTTTTAATTTTATGTTTTATGAAAATGCTAAACCAATTTTATCATCATAATCATAGATTCTTTGTTTTTATCTTTCTCTTGTTCGAAAAGTTTTGTTAAATTTTATATTATTTTTCTGGATCTTACAATAGGAACATTCTAGCTCTAGAGTTTCTTCTTACGTACAGTACTACGGATTCGGTTTCAATATATGGAAGGGAGAATTCGAAATAGGAAGGATATCCTAAAACGTATCTGCGAAAGGCCTGCATTTTGTCATGCAAAACAAAAATATAATTTTTCTTTTGATAAAAGACTTTTATTGAGTAAACATTTTGTGTTATACATAAAACATATCAAATTGTGATGTACCAATTTGATACACTAATCATAAAATTAAAAAATAAACTATAAAATATATAATATAAAATCTTTTCTTGATAAGCGTGTGATATGATTTATCGAATTTATTTCTGTATACAATTGATTAAGACAAAATCCTTTTAGAATTTATCAATTAATTCAATTGGCTATTGATAATCACAAAAAAAGTAACTTTTTAATTATGAAAAATCGTCGTTTAATACACACTTCACGCGAGGATTCGACGCAAATTTTACGACTCATCGTGTATTTATTATGTGCATACAAGCAAAATGGAGATTTATAAAACGCTTTATGTACCTAATATATCTTTGAGATGCAGGCATAATTTAATCTGTATATATATCGTGCTTGCAATGCGTCTTCCTCAGGCATTATTGTATCGTGTCCCTGCACGACAGGCACGGGAATTGCATCTCTCGCAGGTCGAAACAAAGAATATAACGAGAAAGGTGTGTCTCACGAGTTACACTGCACCAGCTGTGCGTGCGATGCAAATGGATGCGAGACCCACCATCACTGTATAAATCGAGAAACGAACTCGTGAACTGATTATACAAGACATTCTGAAAGATTATGATATTAATATATGCAGTTTTCCGTATATATTATAATTTTTTTTTTATTGAAATGTTTAAAGTTTTATTTATAATTAACGTATAGCTTTACAATTAATACGTATAGCTATTACATTGTTCTACCATTATCTAACATTATTCGATAATGTATTTTGATATTGATTAACTAGACAATTTCAAACAAATTACATATTTTTGATGTGTGAAAGAAATATCAAATATTTAGTGTTTGAAAGTAGATAAAAAATATAAATATTTGTACCAAATTGTTTATTTCTCAACACCGCAAACCATTTCGTTCATCTCGTTTCATTTAGTCTGATTAATCTTTTTACTTTTCTCTTTACTCCATCCAAAATAAATAAGTTAAAGGACATATTAAGAATAGAATATACGATTTACGAGTGAAAGGATAATTCGTTATTCTTTTTCTCATCCTTTTTATAGTCTTGAATCTAGTAACTCTTGCAGTTCTTCGTTTTGTGACCATTTGAGTTGATTGGCAGCTGCAATTATTCTCATTACAGTAAAATAGCGGATAAATTTAGGACAAAGCGATGATTTACGCGTGATGTAGATATCGGATAGCCGGGTTTAGTGTTAAACACGCAGTGCGAAAACGAGTCAAAGGCCGTTTCTCTACCAAGCCTGTTATATTCATGAAGTTTATGGACGGTACTTGGTAATTCGAGCTCAAGAGTGTGTATATGATGTTATAATGGATCTATATACGGTTCCTACACACACACACACACACACACACACACACACACACACACACACACACACACACACACACAC